GGGACAGGTCAGAGCCACCAAAGGCTCCATGTGCAGGGTGAAGGATCCCCACCAGGACTTGCACCGCCGTGCGATTCAATGATATCATTTGTTCTTTTAAAAGTTATTTAGACTGCATCTCAACACAGCAAGTTTTTAACACTGACTGATTTTTCCACTGAGATGTCTTTCCTTTCTCCCTGTGGCAGTGAGGATTTTGACAAAACCTCCCAAAGAAACCACAAATAAAACTCAGAGCGATGAAATCGGTGTGAAAAAGTGTGATGTGGTGCTTGGGGATTGGACATGCCCATTGCTTTGGGTGAGGCGGCTCAGAAAAGCCCAGCGTGGCACAAACAAACCCAAAAAACATTTTAGGGGAAAAACTGACTTTTTTTTTTTTTTTTTTTAAATGTAAAGGATGTGATTTTGCAAGAAGGTGTCATCGTGGTCCTTCGCTGTGTGGCCAAGCACCCCCGTGTGTACTCTTTTATCATCAGGGTCTAGTTCATCCCTTAAAAAAAGGCATCTACCAGCCTTTCAGGAGAGCAAATGTTGCCAGGGCAGGCAGGAGAGCTCATCACACACCAGGCAAAAGGGCAGAGCTAGAAGGGACTCCTCAGCACCTGAGTAGCAGGAAGGGGGTGTCTTACCCCATGCCCACCCCTGTGAGTTGGCGTGTTTCAGTGAAAGAAATGAGGCTTCTGCTGGGGACAGGTGGCTTTGGGGGTTAATGGATCTACCTACTGTTTGCACACATTTGTTATTGCTGTTGGTAGCATTTGTAGTCTCTGTTGGTTCAATCATTAGGTTCCAGGGTGAACGATGGGTACAGGGGTAGTTTGCACTTGTCTCAGATGTGAGGGGACACCCCAGCTTTAAATTAATGCTCTTCCAAGATGTTACCCGCTAGCTGGAAGGATTAGCAACATAATTTTTGCTGTTGCTGTTCCAGAAGGTCCTGCTGGGGGTTTGCAGAGCCCTGCCCTGACATTGCTGCTCTGTGGGCTCCCATCCCACTGGCTCTGTCTAACCAGTGCATGTTTTGGGGCCAGGAGATCCTTCTCCTGGCTGAAGGTGTTGAGCTGTCTTCCACGAGGGGTTCGCAGCTAATTGGTACAATCAA